CAGAACTTGCCGGAGCAAGTTTAATGACCACGAAGGTCGTACTCACCACCGATCAAAGGAAGCTGGGGCGTCACATTCGCCTGAGCAGCGGCGCCGCCGGTCGGCGCCGACGGTGCAGATCCTCGAGCCACGGCGGCATCAGGCTTGGAAGCGACGTCGGACTTGGAGGACTTCTTGGGTGCCATGGGATCTCGTCGGAGAAGATGAGCAGTTGCCAACGGAGAAGAAAACGAAATTTTTTTTGTTAAATTTTCAAGAAGAGTCGAATGACTCTTGATTTGACCCCTAGCGGTCTATTTATAGACAGCTATGAGCTGTCAAATCCTAACGGACGGGATTCGAGGCCATCAGCCCGCCCAAACTCGACCCTCGCGTTCGAGTTGATTCAGCTTCCAAACGCGATGCTCACCCACGCGTTCCAATTCTCAAATGCAGAAGGCATCTCTGTGTTGAGACCACCATGAACAGCAATTTCTTGGTTACCAAAGCGATCAAAGCCAGGAAGAAACAAACGACTCCACTGGGGAGTCTGTTGGAGGAGTACAGATAGATTACAGTCAACAACGGCGAAATCATCTGACTCGATCAGGCGGGAAGAGCAATCAATCCACCAAATTCTGGGATCCAAAGTATTCCGAAAATTCGTCCCAGTCAACCGCGAACTTTCGAAAACTTTGGAGGGGGTTCTGTAGGCTGTCTAAAAATCACAATAGATAGCTTATTCAAACAAGCTCCGACAACGGAGGTCACAATCAGACGACTTCCCAATCACTGCATCCGCAACTCCACAATTGCCACAAACGCGACCACACTTCTGAGATGATTGATCTTGATGGCTGTGACAACAGCATGGCTAATATCATAGCAACTATTAGAGATGCTGATGAGCAGTGGGACGATTTCAGAAATAAAAGGTTGGACTCAGTTGGTGAGTTGCTTGGTAGAGAGCTGTGGGCGAATATTCATCTTTAAGACACTATGGATGTTGATTCCCGTCTAGCTCCTACAACGAAAGCTACAATCAAATAGCTTTCGGGTCGATGATCGAAACATATAGTCGAATAGTTGCTTGGTAGAGAGCTATGGGCGAATATTCATCTTTAAGACACTATGGATGTTGATTCCCGTCTAGCTCCTACAACGAAAGCTACAATCAAATAGCTTTCGGGTCGATGATCGAAACATATAGTCGAATAGTTGCTTGGTAGAGAGCTATGGGCGAATATTCATCTTTAAGACACTATGGATGTTGATTCCCGTCTAGCTCCTACAACAAAAGCTACAATCAAATAGCTTTCGGGTCGGTGATCGAAAGCGGCAAATAGAGGACTTTTCACATAGATCGAGAAAGGTTACAATTTAACGACACTTCCGACAACTGATGAAAACTCTATGCAGCAGTCTTCACAATCTACAGTGAAAGTTACAATCTGACGGCTTTCACACCCCACAACAGCTAAAGCCAGGATTACTGAACAACGGTCCTTGCAACGCTCTACAGAAGAAGTTACAAGTCAAATGGCTCCTTCTGAAACGCGGATGTCATCCCCGCGTCACCAAGTTGGAAATGAAGGCGACCCTCGCGTCGTCAAGCCACGGCGACCCTCGCGTCGTCAAGCCACGGCGACCCTCGCGTCGTCAAGCCACGGCGACCCTCGCGTCGTCAAGCCACGGCGACCCTCGCGTCGTCAAGCCACGGCGACCCTCGCGTCGTCAAGCCACGGCGACCCTCGCGTCGTCAAGCCACGGCGACCCTCGCGTCGTCAAGCCACGGCGACCCTCGCGTCGTCAAGCCACGGCGACCCTCGCGTCGTCAAGCCACGGCGACCCTCGCGTCGTCAAGCCACGGCGACCCTCGCGTCGTCAAGCCATAGCGACCCTCGCGTCGTCAACCAACAGCGATCCTCGCGTCGACAATGCACAAGCCAAACGCGAGCGACCCTCGCGTTCAATGGTGTTCAGCTAACACCCAACTTCGCGTCTCAATTCAAAGAACACGAAGTTGGGTTCTGAACGCCAGATTGGGCGTTTGACTCACTCAAATGCTAGTCGAACGGTTTCAGAACCGTTTATCCCACGTTCTGAGGGATTTTCGCCCACGTAGGAGCGGATATAGGGGTCAGTTACAACCCCTTATCCCCCTATAAAATATCAACAAACTCGACAGAGTTGGAGGATCGGATTCTTGATAATCAGATCAGAGGTTGGATTCTTTATCATCGAAACCACTCAGGTTTGGAGATTCGGTAACGACAGCAACGAAATCTTTGGAGATAAGATTTTTGAATCAATCTCAGAAGATCAAATCTGAGAGGATTCTTCGACAACAGAAAAAACAGCTTGATCCTTAACTGAATTTTCGGTTCCAACAACTCTATTCACAGAGTTCAAACTCGTTCAGAGTTCTTAAACTCATTCAGAGTTATTCATAAAACTTTCGATGAAAGTTCATCGTTCCCACGAGATAAAGACGGTCGGATCGTCAACGGAGAGCAAGTTCGACGCAATCAATCGAATGAAGCACTCCATCGCTGCCAAGAAGAACCCAGTTTTAAACAAAGGGGAAAACCAAATTCGTTTTCCTCTCTTTTGTAATCAAGTTGTAACCGAGATCAAAGGAATATAAATCAAAATTAATTTCAGTCAGACAGGTTCATTTGACTAACGGACTAAACTTTCATAAGAACGAGCCTCATGCCAGAAAGAACCGGTTTAGATTACAGGATGGAAAAACAAATGCTACATAACAAATCAAATAATGACAAATCTTGCTCCAATTTACAATGATAACCAATATCTACCCAAAAATGAATATTTTTGATATTTCAGGTCAACCATTCACCAAGGTTCAAGATTAAGGAGGATTCAGAACATTAAAAATAAAACAAAAAAACCAAATTTTAAGTAAGAACAATGACTTAAGCAATATGTATATTTAGCAAGGTTTTAAATATCGGATGTCGGGTTCATGTCGCTCGGCCAAAATTCATGTCGGATAGCGGAAATCGGGGATATATCGGGGGACATGAAAAAAATATCGGATTGCCATATCGGATAGGTTGATATAATATCATAAATGGAATCTTCACATACTTGATAATTATATTGTCTAAACATATGAAAAAGTACATATGAGAAGGTCTTCATTTTCACAAGCAACCACCAAGTTTTTGCTTTTGCATAGAAAACCAAATAGACACTAGAACAACTTAACTGCATATGTTTAGACAATTCTTATTAAAGTATAATAATTATCCAGAATATAAAAATTACTAATACAATTCTTTATACACAACTTTATTTATTAATGTAAAGATTTATTAATTGTTCAATTTAAGAATTTATGTTATTATAAAAGTCACTTCATAATTTTACACTCAAAGAAAAGGATTACAAAAAAAAATGTTCACATACAAAGCGCGTGCATTATACTAGTAGGAACAAAAAGAAAATTCTACTGAAATTGAAAATTAAACTCGTAATTGCTATTATAAACTACTTAACTGCATCGACTAACAATTGCAGGATTTTTATTATATATCTATCATTTCTCCAAACAAGAAACTAGTAAAACCGAAGTATATGTGCACCTAATACAAATAAATTCATGTGTTCTTATAGCCTTCCATTATAAAGAAAACACATGCAATAACAAGTAATTAAAACCTACAACAAGCACCCATATGGGTAGTGGATGGGAAACAATGTGAAACTTTACATAAATAGAAGGTGAAAGATATTGCAAATCATATGATTTCAACATGTCAATGTGAAACCGATATTTCTGAATTTTGGCCGATATTTGATGGCCGAAATGTCGCCCGATATATCCGCTATTTTCCGACATGTCCCCGACATGACCTCAAAAACGCCATACGCATTAAATTCAACAATTTCGTGGCGGCTAGGCTCCGAATCCGCAATATCGGCACATGGCGGCCGATATTTAAAACACTGATATTTAGATGCCATTGACTTGGCAGAGTAAAATTCTTGTTTCGTTAGGTCAGGAGTAAGGGGCTTAAGAAACAACATGTCCAAAAAATGAGGGTACATGAACTGATAATGTCATAAATTGATAAATGAAAATATGTCGAAGAAGAATAATTGTTTCAACTCATAAATAGCTAAAATTTGACATTATAACTCCATTATGTCAGATTATCCTATTTAAACTTCTACTTGCATCCCTGCAACTAAGAATCTTTGTTTTATTGTAACATGAATTCCTTTAATGCCACAACTTAACCCGACAATCACATTATAAAGATAGTTCAAATGGTAGATCAAAGAGACCAATGCAGTGACTTGAGAGCCAGACTTGGGGCATATATTGTCCATTAGAAAGTGATTTTCCTAATTCTAGCTGCTTAGATGCTTTCTCAATTCATCATTGTTCCTAAAGCCATGAACAAATATTGGGAGTATAATTTCTACCTCTTTCTGCATGTGGTTATGAAAGCCTCTAAAAACCACTTTACACCACCAAATTTTTTTAGTTGGGCCTCCCAAGCAACCGGGAGAAATGAAGGTTTGACCTCCATGTCTCATTTGGAGGTGAATACGAGGCCAAAACACCCAAAAAAAAAGAAAAAAAAAAGAAAATGGATGGGGAACATGAATTAAGGGTAGAGGTTCAATTAGGAAAAAGAATCAGAAATGCAATCATGCATAACTGTCGATGAGGTACTAATCTTTTTTATTGTCTAGAAGTTTAATCGACGAGGTAATAATGTTCTTTATTGTCTAGAAGTTTAATCGACAAGGTAATAATATTCTTTATTGTCCAGAAGCTTAATCAACTAACTATGAAAAGCCTGAACCATCTCCATCAATTGATTGAGCAAATCATAATTTCGTAATTCAGTGATGTCATATCATCAATCAGAAAGGGGATCTTAAGAATAATTTTGTTATGAAGTTTACGACTGTGTGTAATGCATCCTTCACGTACTATTTCATTAAACATTTCACAGGTACTACAAATTTACTAACTTTACCATATTTAGGTTAGCTGGTTGAGTGCGTAATGCATCCTTCACATACTGCTCCATTGCATCAATAAAGGATACATCGGGCTGTAGGAAAACAAGACATGAAATGGTTAACAATCAAGGATACAATATATCAAGAACGTATAGCAGGAAATTCTAGTTGAGATTCTCTAAGCAAGGGAAGACAACTATTCTAGTAACTATAACTCTGAAAGACGTATACTTGTTCAATTTTGGCAAATTTCAGCTCCCTCCCAAGCTCAAGGCCCTTACAAATTTCATAGAATTCAGACAGCCTTTCCGCCTATAATCATATGTGTTCATGTCTCAAATACAACAAATGATCCAAAAAAGCAAGCTGGCAAACTGGCAAGTACAACCAAGTTTGACAAACATGCATACAAAAATCAAAGTTCAGCACTTACCTGATATCCGGCCTTTCGGTAAATTTCGAGTGCCCTGAGGGCATCATTACGCTGCATCTCAAAAAACTGCCATACAAACGTAAAAAATATGCATGTTACCGTGCCAACTAACTTTTGTTATATCTGTATGTAGGCTGCATATCACAAGAAAAGGCAGTGTGTCACCTTGTCAACCAAATTGAGAGTACAACCAGTGATTGCATTGTATATCTTTGTACTTTCACTGGCAACCTGCACAAAGACACTCATGAGGTGTTAGAAGTTGAACATTCACCAAAACAACAACATTAAATCCTTGCAGTTATGCTTACAATTGAAAGTGCATATTGAATCACACTATTGTAAATAGCTGCTCCCTCTGGCTGCAAAAGCAAACATATGTTTCAGTAAAAACAAACACAATTGGAAGACGTGGTTACTTATGTATGTTCAACTTGTCTACCTGGCAGCTAAGCAGGCGAAGAAGAAGCTGTTGTAGAGAAGGTAAGTGCTCAAGCAAGTTAACAGTGTCAAGATCCAATGTTCTCTGTTAGCAAAACCTCATATTAGGATACGCCGGAGCTCATAAAGTGAATCAAATAAGAAAATTATTATCCCACTACTCTTTTTTCTAAGCAAACAAATAATCACTAGACTTGCAGACATATTGTGACAAATTTCCCGTACATCATAACATTCTGTCATCCCTTTTGATAATTGAGAAATACTCCCAGGAAAAGTGAGTCTAACGACTCTAATCAGAAAGAGGAAAATGGAGGATGCATCACCTAAATTATAGAATTAATCTGCCATTATCTGGATAGAGAATGAGGAGAACAAGACAAAGCTGTTATTGTTAACATAATATAGAACAATGCAATCGATAAGGTTTTCGATTTTCATTGAACTCTACTCTGAAGGAAACCTCAGACATCATGCACCGGCCATTCCAAATCCTTCTTGAATTTTTTCGTCAGAAACCATAAAGTAAAGTAGTCAGAATAGAGCCAAATAAACTTGATTTCTAAAAAGTTAACATTTTTCCACTTATGCAACAAGGGTTAAAAGATTATCTGAAACTTGACAAGTAAATAGGACAAATGGAGCACAATTCAGAAAAATCCTTGGTAGAGATAGACTGAGTGTTCAGAGGTAGATAGTCGATAAATATTTGAGCACCTGACAAGTTACCAAGTTCATAAGAGCAGTTAGTTGTATCATGCACTTGTGAGTACCAAGGTGACATGTATGATTGTGTGCGTCTATTATCTATTACTATAATTTAAGAGAAGATAGGCTTTTGGACACAACTTCAGGTTAGCTATCCCCTATGAAGCACGGACACGCATAACATGAAGCCGTGTCGTGTCCGTGTCGGACACACGTGTCGAACACACGTATCCTATGTATTTTTTAGGATTTGCCCACCTACCCACCAACCAACCAAAAAAAAACCCCACGTTCCAGCCGTCAACCAAAATCCCAAAACCTAACTAATCTCTTCCTTCTCCTTTTCCGCATGGAATCTCCAAGACTCTTCAGGTCATTCTTTTGCTAGCTTCTCCCAATCCACAAGCGCTCCAGACTGTCATCGCTCTGGTGAACTAGATTTCATCTAAGTATCTCACCTTGGTTTAATTTCAAACCTTGATGGAAGATGGATTGAATTTTTACAGGTAGGACTCAAGGGCTACATAATAACTGTGGGAGCTAAAATACACAGAATGTGTTGGCGACTCTCACCTCCAGGAATGCAGCGTGACAATGGGTTAAACCACTTTGTACGTTCCGACACATGATTATAGGAAGGAAAATCCTTGATTACCCCAAATCTAAGAATCTATGCGTGAGCTTATTAAACTCGGTGATGAAAATATCGTTTTTTTTCTTATGGAATTTTATATGCAGAAAATCCAAATAGGTTTCTAGGACTTTATTAATTTTGTAAAATTTGTGTGGTGATTTGACTCTTCTTAATTAGTAGTGAGCACATTCTTGCTATGCTTGAACATGATTTGTCTAAAGTAAGTTGTCTGATTTACAACTGTTTCCTCTATTAATCCAAACAGCTATATGACACATGTTACAGCGAACGAACCACACAAATTTGATTGACACGTGTATTGTGGGAAAAACTTTAATTTGTAAATTGTCGTTTTTGCAATAATTTAATATATTTACATTAGTATATCAAGTCATCAAGATGTTAATTTATTTCGCACAATTGTATATAATGTGTCATGGAAGCATCGTGTACACAAGAAAACAAGTTTAATATAAACCACTTTCCACTATTTATTTATCCTGTTTGGGACTGGAAGGAAATGAACAAAAATACAAAACAATGGGGACATTCATTTTTTCCCTTTAAGATAAAATAAACCAAACAGTCCCCTCCTGGGCAAAAGGTTGAGTTTCAGGAATAACCGAAAATATGAAACTCCTCCCACTCAACTCTAGTCTAGTTATTTGAATTTTGGAGGGGAAAAAACACCATTTGGGCGCACACATCCCTCATGGTCTAGCTATGTTGTGGTGTGTGTGCATATCATTTTTGCCCTACAGTCGTTCCTAGCTAGCTTATATTGAGACCAGATGAGTGTAGATGAATGGACAGTGGTTTGTATTGAACTTTCCTCGTCTAGTTAGCTTACTGGGATTTAAGGAAAAATACCATACAGGCATTTGCACTGCCCAGCATGATGCGGGTGTGTCAACGCGTGTGCGTGGGCCCCTATCTTTTCTTGTCAATTATATTTTGTTTACATTTTACTTTATTTGATTTGATGTGTTTCTGGTTGTTGATAAATTACAGGATTCAACCTTATGTTTGAGATTTTCCCTATTGGGTTGTTGCAACTGCGAGTTCATGCAATTTAACTGCATAATCTCCTCATATCATGATTGTCGCGACAATCCACCCTTCAAGAGACTACAGATAGAAGAGGCTTTAGAATGTTGTTTCCATCATGCTTTTGGGCAATCTTTCATATGAGCAACAGACTCGAGTTTCCAAAGCAAATCTTGATTCTTGATTGTCGACACTTTCAGGAACTTTTACTGCTACGAGGAGAGAACCAAGTATTACATGCGTGAAAATGGATGCTACTCCTGGGCAGTCTTGTGACCACACCTTGAGTGGTAAACTATTGGATAGGAAATTTTTTGAGTATAAATTGGCAAATAGAAATATTTGGAGGGTAATTCTAGCAAATCATAGATTTGAGGGGTATGTAGGTGAAAAAACCTATTATAATAGCTTCTGATATGTGAAGTGATTATGATATTATGCTGCATATTACCGCATTTTCATATTGCTATAAAAACAAAATAAATAAATAAATGTACAATGTAAGTTAAGTCGTAACAAAAAGGTTAAACATTGAACTTTGAAGTTACTAATTTTCCAAGTATATATCAATATCAAAGTAATAAAATAAAAACAATTTGGATGCGATGATTTAATTTAAGAATAGTGTTCTCCAGCTTCTAATATCCAAGAAATAAATATTTTATACAAACACAGCCAGCTCTGACCAACACAATGGTTAAGTTGTGTCCTTGGAGTGTCATTTTCCAACATAGGCCAAGGAGCTTTAAATAAGTATATCCTTGCTAGATGTGCGGATATTAAAAGACAATATATTTTTTTCTATGTTTTAAATTAGAGAAATGCAGATATGCATCCACGAAGCCGTATCTGGATTGGCTCTTTTGTATCTGTTTACACCTCTATCTCTATTACAAATTTGGGATTGACATCATAGGTAATTTTCTCCATTCAGCTTTGTACATCGTAAGTAGTATTATATTCCTTACCTATTACCTCACTCATGCTTTGGTAGAGCCTCATCCTAGCATCTTGATAGAACCTTGTTCTAGCATCTAAATCAACAACAATTATATACCTCCTATCTCAAACACTACGCAGACCTCAAAGCAAAACAAAACCATCTTAAATGCATGCAATTATTTCTTACCTACCATATTATTACCCCTAATTTCCAAATATTCTCATCTTAGCTCATATCTTTTGGACATTATTCTCAACTCCATAATATCCTGACCATAGAGCTGTTGTCTTAAACATGTCATTTTATCATTCAACTCCATGGCACCTAGGCCATGCATGTTTGGACCCATGGTAGAAGCACATATAAAGATGATGTTCAGTTAAAATTCATAAGTCAATGAAAATTCAAGGAAACATTTCTTGGTACCACATATCTGGTACTTTTGACAACAGTGAGATAAGCTCTAAGTATACCTAAAATGGAATTAGATGGAGATAAGTTTCTATAGGAAAAGAACATTGAAGAAAAAGGATACATATAGATTAAGTTTCTTACAGTGTTTCCAGTCTCGACATCATACTTCACTATGCGAAAGCATTCAAGACGCTCCTCAATGTATAAAGCATAATTGCGTACCCAAGAAGAATAGTCCCAAGCTTAAGAATAAGAATTGAGACAAAAAAAATTAGCTGCTGATTCAAACAATTGATTTAAAAAAAGTTAGTTGGTGATATCAGATATTTAGTCGTTACAATCCTACATGTAAACTTCAGCTCATCTCTCCAGAGAGAAAAGGAGGGAGGGAGCAGGAGGAAGTATGCAAGAAAGGTGGCTGAACAGCCACTGCTGATTTAAAATGATTTTCTAACATACGCTTCTTTTGAAAAAGTTACCATTCGGGCTTGACTTGTCCTTGAAATGGCACAGGTTCAGCATATGACTTCTGCCCATGGTAAAATTCATGAGCTCCTCCTGGAATGTGGCATCAACTTCTCTAAAAGCGCGATGTATAACAATCAAGGTTTTAATTGCAACCTGTTAAATGGGCAGCAGGACGAAAATCAATCAACTAAAGTCATAACAAAGGTATATGAAAATACATGAAAAGTGGAGTGTCATCTTGAACACATTGCTGTAAAATGAGGAGGAAAAGGGGAAAAAAGACCTATTACACCTTCTTAATTCCACACCTAAGAAGGTCCAAGCAGACTATTTTTCAGTTAGTACAAAGCTGACATAATCCAGGCTGCAAAGATCTAAATTGCCTTCGAAATTCAGTTTTGGGAGAATTCCAAGTTTCTATAAGACACAAGGTAAAGCTAAAATTCTATCAAGTAAAAAATTAACATTGAAGCTTATGGATCGCGTTGTTTTAACTTGTAAGAAGATATATTTCCTGATCTGGAAGGATTTTAACCTGAATACAACCTTGAATATGCAATGCTGCGAACTTTTCACAAATTATTTAATCAAATGGGATTGAACTAACAACCTAGCGTATTCATAGAGGTGAACAAGAGTTACATGAGTTGGATATATTAGTTTAGCTGACATTGACCGAGCATTATTCAAGGTGTCCCAGCCAGGCTTTGGTCAGATATAACATAGTCAAATTAAAAAAAAAAAGGTTTCTTTCAAGCTAGCCAAACTTTGACAAAACACACTGAGAACACGAATAAGGTTCTCCATTTTATCGTGCTTGAACTAATCAACCTGTGGTCCGCCTGATCTTTAACTACATAAATGAATGATGAATAAGTTGTACCCAAGGCTTCCAATCAGCTTATCAATACCTGGATTATTCTTCATACTTGGACATTTTCAAGGATGGATATCCACCAGCAGCATACAGTTCAGTTATGCAATAAACAAAATGAAAGCTTAATCTGCTAATCAATCTTTGATGGCTTAAGAACTACAAATTGAACATAGAACATAGAAAGTGAGGAACGTGCCTGCTACATTTAAAGTGATCGTGTTAACTATTCTCAGATGCACATATATGATTCCCAACCAAGGAATCATCATACTATAATTTGCAAACAACATGCCTGCTAAAGAAAAGGAAGAGCACATCTGTTACTCTACTTTGCGCGCATTAGTTTTATCATTTCAGGGACACTGAGACACAGAACAAGAGGTGTTTAAACTTTTTTTTTAAATGGAATGAAGGGGACGTGCACAGAATGCTTGTG